AGGAAAAATTAATAAAAATAGAAAAAGAAAGAAAAATTTTAAGAAAGTAACTTTGAAAGACTAAAGTATCATGGGGAAAAACAGTCATGAATTATATGTGCTGTATTCCCCTAGTGCTGGAGTTCTGCTGTTCTCATTGATCGGTAAACTTGGCCTTGTCAGGCTGTTCCTGCTGATCTTCTGGGGGACGGTCCTGTGGTAGTGATTCTCAAATGTCAAGGGTCGGGGCTAAGTAATCTTGGGTTTGCTCTCGGGAGCTTTTGTTCCCTTCAAGCTTTCCCTACAGCTTTGCAGGATTAGGGTGAAAATGGCGGCCTCCTAATCTCCGCCATGGTGGAGCAGAGAACTTGGTGCCCCAGTCCTCAGTGAGCCCCCAGAGAAAAGCAGTCAATCACTCCTGTCTCCCTGGTCTTTGGCCGCACTCCGTGCTCACCCGGCCTGTGACCGAGCATTTCTATCTCTGGCACACGACCCTGTGTGGAGTCTCCAAACCCAGTACATTCCTTCAGTGCACTCCTGGGGGAGGAAGGGGAGTCTCCCCTGGTTTGCTGCTTGTTGGGTCCCTCCTGGAAGAACAGTGGCCCGACTGTGCCGCAGATCACTATTTTTGGCAACCCCGAGCTGCGAGCCCACTCCTACAGCCGGCTTCCCTGCTCTGATACTTGGGACGTCTGCTGTACTCAGGCACCCCCGGTCTTTCTGTGACCCTGAGAGTCTTGAGACCACACTGTCCCAGTGTGGGTTCCATCCCCCGCTTAGCCACTGGAGCAATGTCCCTCAGTGGAGCAGACTTTTAGAAGTTTCAATGTTGTGCTCCCTTGCTCTATCACTTGCTAGTAGCCGGCTCCCCGCTGTCCCCCATCTGTCTTCCCAAATATTGCCTCGCATTCACTTCTGTGCATGTCCTACCTTCCAGAAAGTGGTCGCTTTTCTGTTCAGAGAGTTGCTGCTATTCTTTTCTTCCATCTCCTGTTGAGTTTGTAGGTGTTCTGAATGGTTTGATACCTATCTAGCTGAATTCCTGGGACCAGACGAAATTTAGATCTCCTACTCCTCCACTATCTTGCTCCTCCTCCCAATTACTGGCTTTTATAATTTTGGAAAAATTCTTATTCCATTTTTAATTTTTATTATTTTATTTTTTATTTTTTGTTTAATTTTATTTTATTAAAGATTTTTATTTATTTGTCTGAGAGCGAGAGAGAGAGAGAGAGAGCGCACAAGCAGGGGGTAGTGGCAGGCAGAGGGAGAAGCAGGCTCCCTGCCGAGCAAGGAGTCTGTTGTGGGACTTGATCCCAGGACTCTGGGATCATGACCTGAGCCAAAGGTAGAGGCTTAACCAACTGAGCCACCCAGGCATCCCTCTTATGCAGTTTTTTAAAACATTACCTTTATCCCATTATTTTACTTTCATCTTCTGAAATCCTGATTAAACATAACATTAGGCCTTCTTACATTATCTACCCTATTAATATTTTTCTGTGTTTTGTATCATTTTATATCTTTTATTTTTTAATTATTTATTTAAATTAACATATAATGTATTATTTGTTTCAGGGGTACAGTTCTGTGATTCATCAGTCTTGTACAATATCCAGGATTCACAACACATACCCTCCCCAGTGTCCATCACCCAGCCATCCCATCTCCAACCCACTTCCCCTTTCCCCTCAAGAAATCCTCAATTTGTTTCCTAAGTTTAAGAGTCTCTTATGGTTTTTCTTTCTTTCTGGTTTCATTTTGTTTCATTTTTCCTCTCTTCCCCTATGATCCTCTGCCTTGTTTCTTAAATTCCGCATATGAGTGAGAACATATAATAATTGTCTTTCTCTGATCGACTCATTTTGCTTATCATAATACCTCTAGTTCCATTTAATCTCTTTTAGCTGCTTTCTGGCTAACTTTTTTCCAATCAGTCTTCTAATTCACTAGCTCTTTTTTTCTGTATCCTATCAGCTACCAAACATGTACATTGAGATCTTAGTTTTGGTTATTTATCTTTTCATTTCTAGAAGTTCTGTTTTTGTTTTGTTTTGTTTTTTTAATAGTCTTTGCTTTCTTTTAGCTTATAGTATAATCTGTAGATATTTTTCATGTTCTTTTATCTTTTTTAATCATTAGAGGTGTACTTGTTTTATATTTGTGCCTGATAATTCTGGTATCTGAGATCCAAATTGGAATTTTTTCCTGTATGTTCTCATTTATGGTGCCCCATTTTTTTGGTGCCTGATTATTTTTGACTATGTGCTTTTCATTGCCCTTGAATGATTATTTGTGTAGTTTCACTATGGGCTAGGATGAAGGCATTTTTCTCTAGATATTATTTTTTGCATTTATTTTTGCCAGTTGTGTGTGTACTGTTTATAGGAAAAACACTCCTCTCTCTTTTACTTTCATACTACTATCATATTCAGAACTCTGTACATTGGGGCACTTCAGTGGCTCAGTTGGTTAAGTATCTGACTTCGGGTCAGGTCATCATCTCAGGGTCTTGGGTTCGAGCCCCATGTCAGGCTCCCTGCTCAGCGGGGAGTTTGCTTCTCCCTTTTCCCCTGCCCCCCACTCGTGCTCTCTCTCTCTCTCAAACCCTCCCCCCCCCAAAAAAACCCCAAACCTCTCTGCACCACTTTTGACACCAGATGTGTGGGCTTCTACACCAAGCAATTCTTCAACGACATCTGGGTGTCCTACGGTTCGGTTCAATTCTGATTACAGCTGGAGTTAGTGTAGACCACACAGTTTAGGGCTGAGTCTCATAAATCTACCACTTCCTCTTTAGATACCAATTGGAAGTCTAGCTTGTCACTTGAAGTTCTGACCAACTGGCTATGAATCAGAGGTTCCCATGACCCCATCCTTGGGTTCGATTAACTTGTATCATCCTCCTGACATGTATGTTTAGCTACCTGGAAGCTCCCCAAACCTTGTACTTTTGGAATTTTTATGGAGGTTTCATCATGTAGGCATACTCAGTCTTTAACTCAATTGCCAGTACTTCCCTACTTCCCAGAGGATGGGGATGGGATGGAAGTTTCAAGCTTTTAATTATGGTTTAGTCTTTCTGGTGATCAGTCTTCATCCTGATGCTATCTAGGAGCCCACTAAGAGAGTTACCTCATTAAAACAAAAGACATTCATATCACCCAAGAAATGCCAAGGGATTTAGAAGCTCTGTGAGAAACTGGGGTCAAAGACCAAATATTAGAACAAAAAATGGTCCTAGTGCTCTTATAATTTAGGAAATTACAAGGGTTTTAAGAGATCTTTCCCAGGAACTAAGGGCAGAGAACAATATATATAATTTCTATTATTTTATACACCATTAATCAGAATCTACTTAAACTTAGTTCAAAGCTTAACATTTCCTGACCCAACCAGACTACATGTTTGCAAATCTCTGTGCAAGGGCTTCAGTCAACTCCAGACTTCTCAGTGGTAGTTTTTTTCTTTCTAAGTCCTCTTATCCCTGTCCTCTTCCTCCTCCTTATTCTTTTCTCTGCCTTGATCCAAGGCAGTCTTGCTTGAATGTACTTGGAGTTGGGATGGGAGGTAAGAGAGGACTTGCATAGTTCTGAATCAGCTCCACTGTGAGAGCATTAGCCCTTTCAATCCCCAGCTTATTGTGGGAAGTGTCTCTTATGAAACTCTCACCTCTGATGGGCTCTGGGCTTGACTTACGTCTCTCTTTGATGCCATTTAACCAAACTCCTGTGTACTAGTGTTGGCAAATGCTCACAGTACAGTAATAACAGCATTAGTCCTCAGTTTACCCCGGAATTTAGCTTGGGACTTTTTATAAGGTTTTAATGTTTTTAAGGTGGTGTTTCTTCATATTTTATTGAACATTTTTAGTAAATTAAGTAGGAGAATTACTCTGAATAATTTAGTCTGCCATTATCAGAAAACTTTGATAATCTCTTTAGCATTATATTCTAGTTTATAATTTCTCTTTTATCAGCTGAATCTAGTAGGCTGTTGAAATCTATATGTCAAGTTTAAAATTTTTAATTATTATATTTCTTATTTTTAGAAGCTCCATTTTGTTCTTCTTTAAGTCGGCCTGGTCATTTTATCATTTTTTGTCCCTTAATTATATTTTCAGTATCTCTTTTCTTAATTTCTGTGAGCATAAATACGTTTTTTTATTCTATATCTGATTATTCATTATTTGAGGCCTTTGTAGGTCATGGTATGCTTTCTTATATTTGGCTTGCTTTTAGTCTTTTATTTTTGGTGGTTCATTTCTCATGTATTTTGTAAATCTTTTTTTGTTTGTTTTTTAAACTATGGGCTCATGTTAATTGGAATGTGGGAATTCTCTGAGGTCTGGTAAGTTAACATGTGTTTTTCTACGGAGTATTCGCATTTGTTTTTTGATGGGTTTTTGAAGCTCTGCAACACCAAGATCGTGTGTGTGTGTGTGTGTGTGTGTGTGTGTGTGTGTGTGTGTTTTCAGACCACACAGATAATAAGAATTCTCCCTTAAACTTGTCTGAACATAGTTTTTGTTCATGAATTTTCTAGTGAGTGTTTTCTTCCTTTACATTTATAGCCATAGCTGAGACTTGCAAGTTTCCTGTTTCTTTGTACTGAGTGGCCTTTTCTAGTTTTCCCTTTCACTGGGCATGTTATTCCTTGAGATACCTTACTTTTTTTTGTGGGAAAATCTCTAATATGTTTTCTCATGTTGTATTGTCCCCAGATTTCATTCCTTGTCCTTTATGCACAGAGACCTTCAAAACCAAAGTTGGCAGTAGCATGCATTAGCAGATACCTCTGGGTACCATCTACCTTCAGGACTCATTTGCCTATCTGGATTTAACCTTTTTCTTACTTCTTTAACCTTAGGTTATTTCTCTTATTCTCCTACCACCTCAGTGTACATTGGAAAAACTTTTTTAACCCTTTATTCAACATTCTTAAGGAAGGCTCTTCAGGATATCTCATTACCTCATTGCCTTAATATTTCTCAAATGTTACTTTTAATGTTTCTTTTATAGGATTCAGTTTAGCTGCATTTAAAAGAAACAAGAGGAAACTAGAGCTGGCAGAAAGGGTGGAAACAGATTTCATTCAACTAAAGAAAAGAAGACAATCAAGTGAAAAGGTCAGGAGGTGTTTGAAATGTTAATCATTAATGTATCATAATGATATCTATATCTGCATTTAGACATATAAGCTTTAGAATAGTACTTTCCAGTAGAAATACAATGCATGCCACATATATAGTTTTAAGTTTTCTAGTAGCTACATTTAAAAAAAGTAGGAAGAAACAGGTGAAATTAATTTTAATGATTATTTTATGTAAACCAGTGAATCCAAAATGTCCCTTCAAAAATTTAACCAGTGAAAAAATTATTAGTGAGCTGTTTTCTTTTTTCTTTCTTTTTTTTTTTTTATTAAGTCTTTAAAACCAGTGTGTATTTTATACTTACAACACATCTCAGTTATGGCACTAAGTTTTCATTAGAAATATTTGGTTTGTACTTAAATTTCATAAAATTAACAGTTGAAAAAGTAGGTCTACATAACAGGTTATTCTAAACATACTTTAAACTTTCTAGTAATTGAATTGAATATGTTTTAAAATTAAAATAGTTAACATTTAGTAAAATTAAAAATTCAGTTTCTCATATGCTCTTGCCACATTTTAAGTGCTCAGTAGCTACATGTGGCCCATGACTACTGTTTTGGTTCTTGCAGTTCTAGATAGTGATTCTTAACATGGCTGATTAGAGAGTAGAGTGTGTTATAAGGAAATGTATATATTGGATTCATGTAGATATTTCTACATTCTAATTACATGTCTCTGTTTTTTAGTCTTTTGCATTCTTTGTTTGCATTTTGCACATTAGTGTACCATCATGAGTCTGTGTGTTCCATTTCTTAGGTGTTTTGAGGGGTAGAAAGAAGCTGAAAGCCACAACATTCTTGCTCAGCCCATAGCTTGGGGGTTTGTTATCACACAATTCATGATGGGTGTCTCACATCACAGGCATTTGATGTACTTTGACATCTCATTTTTTTTTTTAAGATTTTATTTATTTGAGAGATTGAGAATGAGAGATAGAGAGCACGAGAGGGAAGAGGGTCAGAGGGAGAAGCAGACTCCCTGCTGAGCAAGGAGCCCGATGTGGGACTCGATCCCGGGACTCCAGGACCATGACCTGAGCCGAAGGCAGTTGCTTAACCAACTGAGCCACCCAGGCGCCCTACTTTGACATCTCATTAATGTTCTTTATTGGTTATTCCTTTTATAATTGCTCATATATTGGTTTATGCTTTCTGTCACAGTTTTATATTATTTACTCTATATAAATGCATAAGTTATCTTTCATAGTGGTATATATTTTCCCAGTATGTTGCTACAGGGAACAATTAATCAAACATTTTGGTCCAAATCTTTTCATTTTTCTGCCAGAAAAGAGTAGGAGATTAGGAGGTGAATGAACAAATTAGTAAGTAGGTCTTGGTGAAAATGGATAGTAGTGTGGTTCCATTTCTTAGGTTTCTTTATCCCATGTGATATCTGAGTGAGCAAATGTAAGACTTTTGACCTTTTAAAAAACTGTGATACAGTTTGCGTGGCAGTGAGTAATTTAATCATTTTTATAAATGTGTATACCCATGTAACCCTCACACCTGTCAAGATGTAGAACATTTCCAGTTCTTTTTGTGCTTCCTTCCAACCAGTCTCTACCTTCTACAGGCAACTGCTGCTCTGATTTTTCTCACCATAGATGTTTTGTACTGTTCTTAAACTTTATATAGTTGAAATCATACAGAAGTTACTCTTTTCTGTTTGGTTGATTTCACAAAGTGCTTTTGAGACACTTACCACCGGCTCATTCTTTTTTATGTACTTAGTAATTAATATTCCCTAGTATGAATATACTATAGTTTGTTTTTCCATTCTCCTTTTGATGGGCATTTGGTTTGATTTTAACTATTGTGAATAAAGTTGCTCTGAACGGTCTTTTTTTTTTTTTAAGATTATTTATTTATTTATTTATTGGACAGAGAGAGAGAGAGAGAGCACAAGCAGGGGGAGCAGTAGGTAGCGGGAGAGGGAGAAGTAGGCTCCCCGCTGAGCAAGGAGCCCAACCCAGGGCTTGGTCCCAGGCCCCTGGGATCGTGACCTGAGCTGAAGGCAGACGCTTAACGACTGAGCCACCCAGGTGTCCCTGCTGTGAACATTCTTATACAGATTTTTTTTTTTTAGACATGAGTTTAGGATTTTTATGCAGAGAAATACCAGTTGATCTCATAGGGAATATATTTAGCGAGTCTTATTCAGAAGACCCATTTTTTTCTTCAGAAAATATTTATTAAGCAGTTACTCTTGGTATGGAGCTGGGTAGTAAGAAAAGCAGTAGTGAACAAGGTGGAGGAAATTTGTACAATAATGAAACTTCACATTTTAGTGGATAGAAACAAATATAGAAGTATATAATTAAGTAAGCTAGTTACCATGTTTGGTAACTGTTAGGAAGGAAGAAACTCCCCATAAAATGATGTGATACAGAGTAATTTGGATGTGAGAGACACAAAAGAGCCCCAAAGGAAGACTCCTTTAGTTAGTGATCAAAACAGATCTCTCTGAGGACATAATATTTGAAAAATAAGATGTGTGTTTTATGAAGAGTCAGTAGAACTCATTCCAGGCAGAATGAACTGCATGTGCAATGGCCCTGGTGGGGAGTTGGCATATTGGAGGGATGGAGAAGAGCCATCAGTGTGCCTAAAGCAGAGTGCAAGGGGAGAATGGTATGAAATGCAGCTGGAGAGGTAGCTAGGTGCTGGCTCCATTAGGATCTGGTAGATATGGCAAGGAGTTTCTGTTTTATTTCGTGAATAATGAGTAGCCATTGAAGAATTAAAAGTAGAGAAGTGATGCTGTCTTATTCACATTTTACAGAGTTCTCTTGGGCTGTTTTGTGTTGTATGGATCGAAGGTGGGGGCAAGAAGAGAAGTGAGACTAGTTAGGAAGTTATTACAGTTGGGAGATGGTGACAACGTGGACTGATAGGGATGAAATTGGAGAGAAGTGAATATATCAGGGATATCTTTTGAAAGTTCCTAGAAAGACAGGCAGTATTGCTGCCTTAGGTATTGGCAAAGAAGAGAGAAGAATGAAAGGTTTTAGCTTCAGGGACTGAGTAGTGCCATTTACTGAGGTGAGGAGGCCTGGAGGAGGCATGGCTTCATGGTGATAGAGGTAGGAAGTGGAAATTTGGCCCATTTTCCTTTAACGGACTAAGATTAACCAATACTTTCCATTTTCGCCATAAGACATATTACCTGATGCCAACAGCACACTAAACACCCTAAAGCTAATAGACCATCATTTAGTGTACCATGCTCCTCTGCTTTCAGTTGAATTATGTGCCACCAAAGCCCCATTATACTTGTTATTATCATTGTAATTATTATTGTAATTACATAATTCATTAAGTGTCACATAAACTGATGAATACTGAGTTTAAAAAGAGAGTTGTGGGTTTGAAAATGAAGACTGTTGTTTGAGAACTACTTGAAAAAATAGAGTTGGTTCTTAAAAAATTGCCATAGAATTAAGTATAGGCAAGCCAGCTGTAAAAGATTGAGAAAAATCATAAAAATCTAAAAGCATTCTGGGTGTGTTGTTAGTGTCTTTATGTTCTTGTTCTATTTTAGATAAAACGAAACTTGAAATCACAGGACAATTCAGTGTATTTTAGTTTATGTAAGAAAGATGATACAGAACATTTAGTTGTGGGCCTGCATTCAAAGGAAAGGCTTTGGTCTTATATAAAAAGATTGGCTAATGAATGAATCTTTGTGTTTTAAATAAAAAGAAAATGTTTAAGTTATGTGTACTTTGTTTTTAAATGATTCTCCACTTTACCCAGAGAATATTCAACTTTACAAAAATTTAACCAACCACTCACCATACTGGTTAGGAGGATCTTTCAATAAAAAGCTTGGTATAGCAGGAGGAAAGATTAACTGTGGAGTTGGGTTATATGCATCTGAAGCTTATGGACAGATCAGAAGGGAGAGTCCCACTTGGAAATTATTGGCATCAAAAGGAACATAAATACATGTGGCTAGATGAGCTCACTTAGGAGTGAGAGAAGATAGGGGTCTGAAAATTGGACCCTGGACCAGTTCAACATGTACAAGTTGGGAAGAGGAAAACCCAGCAAAAGGAGAAAGAAGATGCAGTGAGTGAGACAGTTGTATCACCAGGAGAATGTCTAGGAAGCCAAGCGAGGAGCAGTTCATCACCTGGGTGGAGTGCTGCTAAGAGGACAGAGGACTGATCATTGGATTTAGCAACCGGAGACTGTGGGCCTAGATAAGGACAGTTTCTGTGACATAGTGGATTGTGGACCAGTGTGGCAGGGGTTAGTCAAGGAGAACAAGGGTGAAGATAACTCTTGAGAAGTTTTGCCATGGCGTGGTAAGAGAGAGAGATCTGAGGTCAAGAGACTCTACCATTGTCAGTTATGGTCTGTGAATTCAATGAGTAATTTAACATACAAAGGCTCAGTTTTCCTTTCCTTTCCTTTCCCTTTCCCTTTCCTTCTTCCTTTTTAAGATTTTATTTATTTGAGAGAGAGAGAGAGAGAGAAAGCACAGAGGGCGGAGGGTCAGAGGGAGAAGTGGGCTCCCCGCTCAGTGGGGTGCATGATGCGGGACTCAGTCTTGGGACTCTGGGATCATGATCTGAGCCGAAGGCAGATGCTTAACTGACTGAGCCAGCCAGGTGCCCGAAGGCTCAGTTTTCTTATCTTTAAATGAAAATTGTGATAGTCTCATGGGGAACAAAAGTGATAATAGATGTTCAAGTGCTTTGTGGCTATCATTGACTTAATCAGACACAATAGTCTTTGCCACAGTGACCTTCATCCTTAAAGTCACTTAGCCAAGAAGAAGAAAAAGGAAGGGGGGGGCGCCTGGGTGGCTCAGTCATTAAGCGTCTGCCTTTGGCTCAGGTCATGGTTCCAGGGTCCTGGGATCGAGCCCCGCGTCAGGCTCCCTGCTCAGCGGGAAGCCTGCTTCTTCCTCTTCCACTCCCCCCGCTTGTGTTCCTACTCCCGTTATCTCTCTGTGAAATAAAT